GAATTGAATGGATAGATATAAATTCAAACAGGAAGCAATACAAACAAATCAAAAATTAATTTGAATTGTTAATGAACAAATGCTAAAGCAAATAAAGATAGATTTGGGTTTCTATGAGCCAAAGTTTTGATACCTGATGACGCAGGAGGGTATGGGGAGAATCGAATCTACTCCTGAAACCCACTCAACGAATGTAATACTGATACTAGAACTGCTAAAATAACCTCTTCCTCTAATTGAATCTACAATCCTAAAAAGAAAGCAAAAATAAAGAGTAGGAAAAATAAACAAGGAAATGAAAAATACTACGGATTTACCAATAAATTGATCCCCACTCCTTGGCTCAACAAGACTTATGAAGACCTTTGCTTCTTGAAGAACTTAAAAAAGCTAATTTTAACAAAAATACTAAAAGAAGAAAAGCCGAAACTCTCAAGAATTCTCTCAAATTTATTCTCAAATGTTGTGTTTACATCATATGCGCAAAAACTTATTTATAGTATTTTACGGGCAAACTAGGTGAGTACAAAATCTTGTTATAATTAATAAAATAATACCCTACATAAAATTCTATCTTAATCTAGGATAAATACATAATAAAATAATTATTATATCTAAAAAAAAAACAAATAATCTTAAAGAATAGACTTATATTAAAATAATAATTAATTTAAATTCATATTTATCCCATGTGAAATCCATTCAAAACACATGTGAAAGTTAATTTTAACACATGAGTATTTTAAAAAGTGAGTCCCAAGCCTTTTTAAAAAATTTTAAAATAATAAATAAATAAATATTAAGTATTTTAAATATTTTAAAAGGAAAAAGGAGGGACCGACCGGTTTGGGCTACCTGGATGGGCCAGGTCGGTGGGTCCGCGCAGGTTGCACAGGAGAAAGTTCGTGGGAGTTGCGGGCTAGTGGGCTTAGGCCATTTTGTTGGACCGTCCGCGGGCCTTTCTTCGCGGGGTGCGCATGTTCGACCCTTGTGCTTGGGAGCGTGCAGTTTGTTCCGCGCAGGCCTAGAGGGCCGCGTGCCTGTTTGTGGCCTGTGCAGGCTAGGCCACATGTTCGGCGCACATGTGGGCCTCCTTACTCGGGCATGTGCCTTCTTATAATTTTTCAAGCCCATTAATCGTACTTGGACCTTAAGCCTTCTGGCTTTGACAAACTTGACCCATCTCTTGAAATAATTCCAATTAGCAAAGCGCTCAGGGATGAAATTACTTTCTTGTTCTGGGCGTAAGATTGCATATTTAGAACTAATTTTAAGCTGTCTAGAATCACATCAAAAAATTAATTTTTTGATAGTAAATATAAAAAATTACTTTAAAACTACAATTTTTTTATTTATGATTATAAATAGAAAAAAAATCTAAAAATTATCTATTGTACAATATTTATTATTATCATTTCTGTGATTTAAATAAAGTAAGTAAATAAATTTTATTAAGATCAATTTTCAGTTTTGATAATTTTTAAATAACTAAATAATTATGTATATTCAATCAACTTATCTATTTCAATCATACTCTTATTAATATATATCCGATCAATTTTTTAAAAAATGCATAGTCGCATAAATATAAGAGTTTTAAAAATATAACATCCATTAAATCACTCCAATTACAAATTTAACATAAATTAATCACTCCAAAATAACAAATTTGTCCATCAGAATAATAAGATTCATCCACTTTACTAATTATATATTAAACATCCAACATAGTTTTTCCAAATTTTCTAAGTCCATACGAGAGTTTTGCACTTTGGCAACAACAACCCTCCTTTTCAATTATCTGAAAAATGCAAAGAAATTAAAAAAAATCAAAGTCCACAAATTAACAAGTTTTAATATTCAAAATTGAGATTTAATATAAGTCATTACTTGACGAATGAAGCAAATTGCTCACGAAAAAATTACACCGTTCAGGAGGGCAATTCATGAAAGCATTAGCCATGTTTGGTTTGTCTAAAAGAATCATTTAAGCTCTTGTTTCTTGATGTGGATCAAAACCCAAATAAGCAACCTCTTCATATAGTTGGCTTGCTATAACAAGAACTTGAATGTTTGTTGCCATTTTCTTGATTGTATTTGCAACCAATCAAACTTGCTGAGCTAGATAATCTTCCTATGGTATCACAAACAAACATTTCGATTTCTTCTGCTTTTAAGAACTTTGTGATTTATGTTGGGGTTGCGAAGTAGGCGTTTTTGGGTGTTTGAGCATCATTCACCGTATCCACACCGTCAAAATTGAAATTGCCACCTAAATTTTAGATAAGTTGTTGGTCAATCTCCTCAGCACTCATTACACGTTCATTGCCACTCCTCTTCCGTTGTCCTTCACAAGTACATACTGTCTTACAACTAACCCCGTCAGCTCTATCCTTTCTATACATTTCTAATATATTTTTATAATTTCACACATGTTTGTTCTTCAGTTTAGTTACTTCGGGTAGAGCCAAGGATGTAACGGCCCCAGAAATTTAAATGAAATATATGTATTAAAAATATCAAATGCGGAAGTGTAATAAAAATTTTGATTAGCATCCCTTACACAGTAACTAAAACGTACTCAAAACATGAAAGAACAAACTAACTAAAAGAGATACTCGAAATAAGAATTATAAATATAGCTATGGAGTCTTTAGGCGTCCCCTTCGCCGTCTTCCTGCGGAACGGGCTCGGGAACAATGTCTTCCTGATCTGAAATAGTTAAATAAGGAATGAGCTACACCAACCCAGTAAAGACATCACACTATCTCATCGTCACGAAAGTAAAGGTGGGTAGAAAACAAAATGACCAATGGAGCATAATTTATAACAAATTCTTTTATCAATAATAAAATCCTTTACTGTCCACTTACTTCAGTGAGATCCATGAAAACAACATATGAAAATAATAACCATACAATATTATGAAATCATATACACTTTATAACACAACATATATCACACATTTAAATTTCAATCATCAGGAAACAGATTTTCTCTTTTACCAGCCTACTAGTATCCCTGGGGATCCATAGGGGGTCCCCTCTACACGCGAACCATTAACATTTACAACTTGATTCCAGGGCCGTCCCCATACCCCGTCCGGTATGGGCGCCAAAACAATGAACCTCAATACTCCGTCCGGTATGAGGGTGAAACGGGCCGTCCCCATACCCCGTCTGGCATGGGCGCCAAAACACATAAGGTCTCCATACCCCGTCCGGTATGAGAGACCACGTTCCCGGTAGGGTTCCCTACGGACTCGATCCGTCCACCATCTCCCAGGATATCTAGTCAGGCTGTCCACATTATCCACTTATCAATTCACATAACTTTTTTGCCTTTTTTTTTTTCTTAATATCAATCATCCAATCATACAAAACATGTAAACCAGTAATTGACACCAAATAAGACAATACAGTACCGGGTTTACCATAATACAAACCATAATAAAAGGAACCATAGTTCATGCATACGAGACCATAACATAATTACATCAAACATCATGCTGCATTTAATACTGGAAATTAAATCGAACAATAACAGACCAACACTGTATCAGACTCGGGCTCCACTGGCAACCTTAATCAATTATGCATCTATAAGGTCACACAGTACAGTTTAATTATTTATTTA